TAAAATATTAACAATATTTGTGTCTTCATTTAACATATTTATATTATGTTAAATTAACACACAAATTTCTGTGGACCATTTGGGATATGTGATATCTGTTAAATTTAACAAAAATTTTTCAACTGTGCATATTGTCAGGCGCAAGGATTTTTATTGTTTTCGTATATTTGGGTCATATCATGCTTATAGGCACTGTTAGTTACTGTTTATTTTGCTTTGAAACGAGTAATAAAAGAGAGTGATAATGTTTGAACACAGTGAGGCGCTATTTACAATCCTGTTCTCTTTTCGAAATATTTCTGATATGAAATTATAGTCAACTGTGTCAGTTTCGTTTTGACTTTGACCATATAGCATTCGTTAGATCCTTTTAATCATGAATTACGATAAAAGTGCTCTTCAAACTAACTGTTTTATTTTATTATATATTATTTTGATACTACTTTATTTTTATGTAATGTTCAAGTTTGTAGAAATTTTGACTCCAATATTATGGATAACTCCTTATTTAAATGACAACTTGTGATATCTGTAAGCCTATTTTAAAAAATATTGATGGAAGATTACGAAAAGCATCATTTTCTTGATAAAATTAAAATGTAAGTATACGAAAACTTATTAAGATGACGTAGTTAATTTTACAGAATAATTTTCAATTAGGCATTTCTTCAAAATTTTGACGGATACTTATAATTGACTGCACTAGGACCTCATAAGATTAACTAACAGTTTTCCATGACAGGTAAATGAATGAGAAATGTAATGTATATTAGAAAAAAATAAATTATCTATTCTATATGCATATAGAAAATAATAAATTAATCTATTCTTAAATTTGTTATTGTTGCAGTATATCTTTGACAAAGCAGATATATAGACAACAATGTAAATTCAAAAATAATTACCCGTATGGATTGATGAAAAATTTTAATTGAAACAGAAGGGTGAATACAAAAAACTATACAAATATTCAAAATTACTGTTGATGATCTACACTTTAGCGATTTGATGATTATCATTAGTATCAATAGAAAAAGGTAGAAAATGGAAATGTTAAATAAATACGCGTATATATTTAAATCTGAACTGTTATCGTTAACTAATACAGTAGAGAATTATGTTTTATTCCCTCCTGTGCGTTCTCTTTATTTTCTAATTGATAAATAATTTATTATTATATACATTAGGCTGATGTACGCATGTTCATTTGAGTAGATAATTTTCTGTCCCTTAGTATAAATTGACAAAAGAGATAATTGTATTACATTGCAATTGCATTATATTATAATACAAGACACTATCAAATTAAATATTTTACATTTAAATTTGCGGTTACAAGCCGAAACATCTCTAAAATATTTCAATATATTGAATTGTAATAATGTTACATTAATTAATTAACAATATATTGACATATTTTATTTGAAAGTTAGAATTTTTTTACAATTATGCTATTTGTAATACAAATACCAAATATATTTTAACTACTGCAAGGATAAAGAAATATTTATGAAATTATAAATTATTCTACAAAATAAAAAAGTATTTTGTATTTTTAAATTATAATTTATAAATTGTTCACATTATTGCAGTTAACATTAAAATTATCTGTGTATGTATATATATATGTATATATATGTATACTATTCATAAAACAATTTATTTTGTTTGTATGTGTATATTATATAGTATATGTATGTATTAATATATATTGTGTTATATTGATACATGTGCATACATACACATACACATACATATACATACACACATATACACATACACAATATATTGTATTTTGCAAATATTTTTCTAGAAAACAATAAGAATAATTTATATAACCGCTCTTTGGAAATAACAATTTGTCAATCATGTTGTTATCGCTAGCAACCCTTTTTCACAGTTTTGCCCTTGCGGAATGTTTATTTATTGGATACTTTGACATTTCATATATATGATTTATCAGAATCAACCGCATATATTGCAAGAGCAGAATAAAAAGTATAATGTATAAGCGATATTAAATCAACTTTTCTCTTGATCATTATACATATATTTTTAAAGATTATCCTTGCACACGCAATGTAACTATAATTTTACATGTGTAATCAAATATTATGCCGAAATTTATTAGAAAGTTGTAATAAGTGCAGAGACGAAAGATTAATGCGAATAATGTAATATTTTGTTTGCATATGTGCGCGGATGAGAAAAAAAGGAAAAGTTTAAAAGTCAAAATTAAGAATGTATTAGAAATATATGTAGGTTTTTTTAGGCAACGTCCTAGCCTACTTATATTTCGGTCACATTCTCTATTCGTTTTCCTTTGCGTCACATATTTATATACTTTTTCATACGTGATTCTATAGAATATTCATTTCTCTTGACGCTACATAAATCTACAATCTACAGGACAATTCTCTGGGGATACATGCATCCGATTCATTGCGCGTCAACATAAATCGGCATTAAATTTTAAAAAGCATAATCTTTTCGTTGCATGTTTCTGCCTGTTGCTGTAAAATAATTTTCTAAAGAATTGGTCAGCAAATATTAAGAGTTTGTTTCAATAAATATTATATTTGATTAATAATCGAGTGAAAGATATCTACTACATCGAGAATAAAAGGATATCAAATATTTCAGAATGAATTAAACTTTTATAACAAATTGCTAAACTTGAGATTATTTAAAATCATTACTCGACTTATAAAATATAATTTTTATCATATTCTATATTTGTTATATTTTAAAATGTCAGCATTATTATATAATCATTTTATGTTATGAACTCGATTTGTAATATGTTTTATATAAGTACCTGTAAATAAAAATTATAGATAAAAAAGATAATTCTAAATAATTTTTGATAGATTAACATAAGACAGAAAAAATACAAGATACACACAAGAATCAGTAATCTAATTCGATATACTTTTTTGGCGATTATTTTTTACCTCAATTATGATAGAAAGAATCGTATAACTCAATCAACTATTGCTCATTGAAGAAAATTTATACATTATATTTACATACTATACACATACATATATTCTTTTTTAGAAAATTATCATATATCTTTAATCTTTTTATTTCTTTATAATCATGATTCTATATCAAACGCTTTTTGATTCAGCAAAGTTTATTGATTAATGATTATTTTTTGTGCGTTTATTTTTACACTTTTTTCGATCTTGTTTAAATAACATGATATTGCACGTGAAAAACTGCACAATTAATAATCATTCTAACATTTATAAGTGATGTAAATTATTTACATATCAATCTTGAGCGGTTTTCATAAAAAAATGTTTCATATATTTGCTTTAACTTTGTGAATTTGTGGAATGCAGACTAGATTGAGAAAAAAACATAATCGGGGAGCAATTTACAATTATAATGCCTCTCGTAAATACTATAAAGCAATTCCACGAACTGCATTGTTAAGTATAGCTTTTTCGATCTTTTTAAATAGATGATTGCGTGGTTCCAATTTGGGAAATTGCTTTTAATATATAAAAGAACTATATTATACTTACAATTATTCTATATTGCACGTACAAAAGTAATCAAGTTATGACAATGTGTTTGAATTGATAAATACACATGTACTAAATAATTAAAAAAATTGAATAGCATAAAAGATTTATAAAGAAATATTCATTTATTCAGATTCAAATACAGAGAGTGTGCGGAACAGGTCATTCTTTACGTGTAACGTGCGTTTTGAGTTTAGAAAAGTTTATCGTTTAAAAAAAATTAAAAATAATTCTGTTACTATTCATGATACACATTGTAATACATGAGATTTTATATTTTTTTAGTCTTAATATTTAAACATAATTGTTTGTAATCGTTAGTCATAAACATCATTTTCTGATAGAAAAGAGAATTATTGTTACAAATATAAATAATTCTCTTAATAGTCATCGATATATTAAAGTCGAGACGAAATAATGTAATTATATTATTTATTATTACAATTAATATAATTTTGTGAACTGTATCTTTAAGATATTCTCATCGTTGAATTAAAATTGGATCTGTAACTTAAAGGCGCGCGTCATTTTATAGTTGATGAATACAAAAGTCTTATTTCTTTTTTTTTTAATTGCGTACTTAGGAGCTGATTAAGTTGAAGCACGGAGTGCTATCCAATTACCGCCGGATTAGCGTCCGGTTAGCTGGCAATGAGAAAACTTGTCTGCTTAGGACGATTACCGCTTAAGAGCCTCCAAATTGTATTTACCTCGAATCTCGTAATCCGCGATTTACCACGTAAATTTCTAACGAGCTTCCAATCAGGATCTCATCTTATCTCATCTTAACGTTCTGCTCATCTATCGCAAGACTGTGTATTTCAGAAATAAGAATACCAGCAATAATCTTTCTTTACGTACGTAATTTGTACATTACTCTTGTTACTCTTGTAGTGATATGTATGTATATCAACATGCTCACACACATTTTTTTAGTCTATTTTAAAACATTGTCATTTATCTCTACGAATAATTATTGGCTTGTACGATTAATTAAGAGACCGTAAACTTCGTAAATCAATTTTTTATCGTGCCGCGGATAATTCAATTGTTATTAACGATTGCTTGCATGAATAAAATGCTCGAATATAATAAATTCTAGAGAAAAATATCCTGACAATTTGAAAAGAGAAAGCAATCATTCGACAGCGGAGCAGCCTTGCGGCAATTTGCTATTTGAATATTTTTTTTAATTGTGTATCTATTTTTCTGTTTATTTGATTTATTTGTTTAAACAATAAACAATAACTAGAATAAAAAATTTTTATATATGTGTATTGAAAAAAAACAGTTTTTTTTAATTTATTACCTATAGGTATAATTATTTTATTAAATATTTGTTTGTTACTATATACATTGAATATCATATTGAATGTGCGCGTATAATAATTATTATTTTGAAGTATTATTTATGAAATATAAATTTTAATTTTGCTTTAATTTAGATCTATTTGTATGTTACAGATCAATTTAATCCACGTAATCGCTGTTATGCATCGATCGGTGAGTGGCAAATTTTTATTTTATGGTAAACAACACCAAGTATATGTAAGAAATAGATTTTGACATGCAGCATTAAAAATTTTTGCTTTTTTAACTTCTATTTGTTGCATACACTTTTTTACAACAACTGGCGTGTTTTTACCTTTTTTTAGAAAGGTTACTTATATATTATATGTGTCTTGGATATTGTTTATTCTGTATATCTTTTGAAATTTTCAAGTTAACGCATTAATTTTTAATTCAATCAAATATAGTTTTGTGAAAATGTTTATTACTGCAGCAAATACAAATTTATAAGGCAGGATTTCAATTTTTACACACCACAGTATATCTCATAAGTAGATCTCATAAGTATCCTAAAATATTTCGTTATATGTTTTCTATTTTTTTCTTATATACTTCTCTTCTTAGATTTTATTTTTTAAATGCAATTTTTAACAATTTTGTTATAAAGAGCGAAAGAGCTTTTTTTTTTTCAAAAAAGTGTCTTCCAAGATCTTTTGATATGTATAAGTATTCATCTATTTTCATCTGTGCCTTTATTTATCATATAACCCAGAAAATGTTAGACCATGTGTGTCATAACAATATCCCGCTTATACTTTATCATACGATGCGTTGAAGTCTCTCTGACATTCTCGTTTCGTCTTACGAATCTAGTTATCTTTCACGCTCAACAAACTTTCTGTGTGAATAGGTACTTACATCAACATTTGACAATGAGTGTCAAGATATATTATTTATAAAAAATTCCTAAATCACAATTATATAAATAAGTTAATTTCACCTAACCAAAGTTATAATAATATAATAATTAATAGATATATATGTTTTAATAGAATAATGATATTATTTTTATAATTATCTCGTTATTTTTTTCATCTTATTATTTTTATATTTTAATGTTGTATATTATAAGTAATTAATTAATATTTTTAATTAATTTTTTCTACACGTATTAAACTTGTTAGTTAATGATTTCGTGAACACATTTCTTATTTTATGCAAACAATATATTTTTAAATAATGGTTTTTATATCAGTTTATCTTTTTGGGGAGAAATTTTTATATTAGATATTAAGGTTTTAGCTATTTTAGCTATTTTTAAATAAATTAATAATTTCTATTAACTCTTCTCTTCAGAGAGAAAAGAGTCAAAAGATCAATATTATTTACAAGTTAATATAGAACTCTCCATCGCGCAATGCTATGCAATGGAGTTTTCTTTTCTTTTTCTTTTCCTCGCGTTCCCTTTACTAATACGTGATGGTCACGCAACAATCTTGCACATTAATGTATGCAAATGTGACGAGATTGATTGCGTGTGCACAATGTCGCGATATCAAACGTGACAAGTGATAATGTTATCGCTTGACGAAGGGATGGACGCGATACGAGGGTGCGATATTTCGACACTAGATTCGATACATCTCGCTCGCGGGATGACACTCACTAGGACACCCGCAAAATAGATCAATGAAGCATTTCCGTTACACGGCCGTCGTGTTTGTCGATGTTGGGATTACAAGTGCTTGCGGTAGCGCATATCTCGCATCGCGATGCGACCATTCGTGAACGTGGCAGAGGGATGCATCGGCTTCTTTAAGTTGCGATCTGACGAGGGAAAATTCACCGCCGAGCTTGTCTAAGAAAGGAGGTAGCGCGCGATTATATCCAACTGCCTGAACGCGAAGATGTAAATGCAAAACTGTTGCGTGTTTGTAAAATACGCGAGAACTTTGAATCAATAACGCGTCCCGCTTTTGTTTATCGAAGTATTAAAGCCGTCGCGGAAATTGCGTACTTTCTTGAAAACGGTAATTCTAACGACGACGAAAGATCGAAGAGTGTGTATGTACATAAAATAATAATTCGTGATTTCCGATACGTTCATGTCCCCATATCACTTGTTTTAAAAGACTTCATTATACTTAATATAAATAATATTCCTTTGTCATATGTTTGATGTCATATTTTAATGAATAACACTAAATTGTATTAATTATTTTGCGTTATGATTCTTTTATAAAGAATTTAATTGATGATGATTTTATGTCTTTTGCAAAAGAAATACAATTTATAATCTTAACTGATCGCATCGCTTATTTGTGAATTTATGTTAAAAATGCTATATAAAATTCGCTTAATTCTAAAACATTTAATGAAGTTCCAAACATCATTAAAACACATAAAATTGTATTATTAATTATAATTTCTAATATATTATAAAATAATTTTTTTTCGCATTTATTGCAAATATAAAAACGCAGTTATGAAAGTAAAAAGAAAAAGACTGAACACACCCATACATCTAAAATAATTAATAATAATTCTGAATTGTTAACATAAAAAAATAAAATAAAGATTGCCTTCTGTACTATATGAAGTTAATTATTTTGTATTGTTCACTTTTAAATGTAATTATATATAATAATGTAATTAGTAAATATTTATATACTCTTGAATCTCAATTAGCGGAATATCAGACATGATTACCATTATACATATATGTTAAAAGCATTTTCTTACGTGTTATGAATCCTGTATTTTCGTTTTATCATTGTCATTTAATACTTGAAATCCAAGGTGTATGTAACTGATGTATGTAACGTGTTGTATTCTCTTATATCTTTCCCACGAAAAACACGTTTCTCTTCTCTCCTTTTCCCGGGAGAGTGATTTATGAAGTTTTCGTGAGAATCCTCTAAGGGCCTACCTTCGTCATATTTGCAAGATGTTTGTCTTGTCGGTTTGTGTGTCTCATAAGAATACAAATACCTCAATCGTATCTATCCCATCGAGATTTTTAAGGTTCTAAGAATTGCCTTACAGTGGTGAAACAATTTTTATCTGTATTCCCGTTGGCAGTTGCCATGTATTCCACGTTGATACTAAAGAAAAAATCGAGAGCTCGATTTATAGGAGAAAGCCGATAAGCCATAATTTGTTATACTATCTTTTTAAGACGGCTAAAGGAAAACGTTTTAATTCAATAAAATATTACGCACAGATGCTACATTATTTCTAAATTCACTATTCGCGGTATGTAATGTTTTCCTTGTTTAATGTAACACTTATTATAAAGCAACAGATGCGTCATAATATAATTGGATAAATAATACGTTTTGTAGCTGCAAGTAATTTCGCGATAAATATATGTGACATGCAAAACATCTCGCATGCTTTATTATTAATAATCATTTCATAATTGCGGGTATATATAACAGGATTTATGTGCTTAAGAGTTTATTACAGAACGTATATATATAAATGTTCACCATAATAACATAATATCGGACTAACTGATCATTTATAATTTGTTCTATTTAATCTAATTCCGCTCTTGTTTGGCCAATAAGCATTTCATAAATTTCATTAATTTATAAGCTGAAATAATGAGCAGCTAAGTACTTATTTACGAAATGAGAATATAATATTATTACGATACAGTTTAGCCCGCGGTAGATTAAAGGCTTTGTCACTTGCATGTGAACATCTCATGGATAGAATCTCTTACGTAGCAAAGCAATAGCGTTGATAATATAGCTTGCGTACGTGATGCAGAATGTGAATACGAGCAGGTTCAACAAGTGTACCGCTACTTTGTGTTTCTTTGAGAGCCCGATTAAACGACAAACTTTTTTTGTCGCGTAATATTCTGTTTTTTTTTCGAGTCGTTTTTTCTCGAAAGCCGTTTTAGAGAATAAAAATTAAAGTTTTGTTGTGTGTCATAATATATATATATATATATATATATATATATATGGAAATATAATTCATCAAAAATAAGGCTTTTATCATTTAAACGTATATCTTTGTTTCACCATTATATTTCGAAAAACTGATCCATCTTTCATCCATCATATGTTCCTTGAAAAATACTCTCAGCAAAATGAATGGTAATATATATATATAACAATGATAAATCCGCAATTATGATTAGAGAGATCTCTAAACAAAAAATTACTTAACAAAAAATAAAAAAGAAATTTTAAACTTTTTTTTAAATTTCTAAGCAATTGAAATGATATGAAAAATAAGATTTATTATCTATCAAAATTTTTAATCACGGAAGTTTAAGTTTCTTTAACTTTTAATCTTGAATAATTATGTATTTGCGATTCTTTTTGTGCAGTGACAAAAAAATGAAAATTATTTATATTTTATATACATTTTATATTATTATTTTTATTTATACTAACATTTGAAGAAAAATACGATAACTCTAGGTAATTTATGTACTTATATTAATTATTATTCTGTAAGAAAGAAATTATAATATGTTTAATTATTAATTATTAACTTGCTATGAAACCTATGCATTATTAATTAACTAATTAATAATGTATAGGTTTCATAGGAAAGCAATAATATGATTTTATGATAGTAAATGTTTCATATGTTTACTAATTTTGCACTTATGCAAAATAATTAAGATTAGATACTAAATGTAACTGCAAGTAGTACGAGCACATATATGTCAGACGCACTGGCTATGTAGGCAATAACACATATACTATAATTATTGTTTGACGTGTAATTGTAAAGGCAGCTTTCGCGAGGGGCCTACGATTAATTAGTCTCTTAATGTTTCGCAATTATCATCAAGTTTATGAGCGTTGCAGTGCAACGAAAACATTTTAATTAATTACCTATTTTCATGGGGAGAATGCAATTAGTATCTTTTGTATTTTTTAACAGATTAATTATCTTAAGAATTCGGTCACATACACACAATTATTTGCATTTAATTTATAATATAACCAGAGAAATCATTATACTGATTAATTCTCGCGTAGGAAATAACATAATTATAACATAATATATACTTTTATAACAAGGAACAAATAACAAATTTGAGAGAAGAAAAAATAGATTTTTTTATTAGGATTATTACACTATAAACGATTTATTTCAACGAAATTTTAATTTAACACTTTGTTATAATAACATTAAAATTGAAAAAAATATAAATGTGATAGACGGTCTATCAAACATTT